TCACCGTAAAACAGAGACTTTGGTATGCGGTTTTCTTGCATTCTGCACACGTGACCAGCCCATCCTAAGCGGGACTTTGCAATCATGACTTCAATACTCCCGCAGTTAGCTTTTTCAAGGACCGATACGTTGAGACGTGATGGAACCATTTTATTCTTAAGAGTTGTCTAAGATGTCTCTGTTGCAACTTGTTTAATGCGTTCATGTGTCGGCGGTACGGCACCCAGGTTTCGCTTCCATATAACATGGTGGGAATTATTATCGCTCGGTACACCGCAAGTTTCGTTTTTGTGCTCAAGTCATGATTGTAGAAAACCCTGTTTTTTAATTTCCAGAATGCTCTTGAAGCTCTCTCCTGAACGAAAGGATTGAAGCGCTGCTAATCCTGTGCTGAATTTCAGAGTCGATATTGGCCTTTTCCGAAATCAAACTGTCGAGATAATTGAATTCCGCTACACATTCCAACAGCTCATCTCCGATTTTTATAGCATTGTTGTGATCTTCCGGGGGAGTGCACATGATTTTAGTTTTATCGATGTTCAGCTTAAGTCCCAAGGCCTCGTATGCCCATGTATATGTGTTCAACATTTCTTGCAATTGCTGTAACGTATTTGCAACTAGAACACAGTCATCAGCGTATTGAAGTTCTGTCATGAATCTTGTACGTGTTTTTGCCCTGAGTTTTTTATGTTGAACAGACCGCCGTCGAATATGTATCTAATGCCCAAACCTCTCTCCTGCAGTTTGCTGTCCACTATAATGGAGAGCGCTGCCATGAATATATTGAATAGGAGAGGCGCTAAGACACATCCCTGCCTAACGCCTGTGTTTGTTAGGAAGGGATCGCTCAGTGATCCATGATATGACACCCTTGATTTGTTGTTGTTATGGAGGCTTTTACACACTGTAAGAAATTTGATGGGTACTCCAAACTTTTTCATAATTGCCCAAAGTGCATCTCTGTTCACAGAGTCGAAGGCTTTTGTTAGATCGTTGAATGCAACGTAAAGTTTAGACTGCTGCTCTTTTACTTTTTCCTGTAGTTGCCGGATGGAGAATATGGAATCGACGGTACCGCGGTTGGTGCGAAAACCTGTTTGCGATTCTGGGAGGATTTTTTCTATATGTGGGTGCAGGCGGTTTGACATAATTTTTGCAAAAATTTTTCCTCCAATAGCCAGTAGTAAAATTCCTCGGTAGTTTCCGCAGTCTGATGCACTTCCTTTGTTCTTAAATATATTCACTATATTCGCGTTGCAAAAGTCCTGAGGTACCTCTCCGCTTTCCCATATGACATCAAAGAGAGCCTTAAGATGACCAATAAGTTCTTTACTGGTACACTTATAGATTTCAGCCGGAATCGCGTCACAGCCAGCTGATTTGTTGTTTTTAAGCTGTTTTATGGAGTCCTTTATTTCATGGATTCTGTGATTAGAATGTCTAATACATCGAGGCTGTTATACTGAGGCATTATGTTGATAGCTTCCATATTGGGGTTGTTTTCTTGGTTAAGGATATGGCTGTAATGCTCTTTCCAGCGGTTTCTGATTTGCTCTTCCTCTTTTAGAAGTTCGCCATTTTGTGCCATGATTGGGCATCTTGCCTTCTTAGTTGGACCGTATACTTCTTTTACAGCCTCGAAGAATTTACGATAGTCGTGATGCGTGACATACTCCTGAATCTGACTAGCTTTTTGCGACCCCCAGTTATCCTTGAGTTGGTTTCTTCGGAGCGTGTTGTTGGCTGTCTTAAAGTTGTCTGCTAGTCTTGGATTGTGTGGATTTGTAGTGACGGCTTGATGTGCTCTATGCTTTTGTTCCAACAAAGCCTGTATATGCGGTTGATTTTCGTTAAACCCGTATTGGTGACGCAAAGATTATACTCTGTGCATGTTGTTAATAAGCGTTCGCCATTGCTATTTACGTTTCCCATTTCATGTTTTCCCAATACGTCAGGCCATATTTCCTGTTGTTTGCCGACACGGGCATTAAAGTCACCTAGCAAAATGATTCGTTCGTGCTTTGGAATTTGTTTGAGTATATTTTGCAGAGCTTGGTAAAATTTATCCTTATCCTCAATTTTAGCGTCTAGGGTAGGAACGTAGGCACTTATGATGTTGACGTAAGTTTTGTCTGATATGGGGTACCTTAGGGTCATAAGACGTTCGGAGACACCAATAGGTACCTCTGTTAATTTGGTGGCGATTTCGTTTTTGATTGCAATGCCTACGCCATGAATCCTCCTGTGTGTTGCCGGGTGACTCTTCCAAAAGAAGGTGTAATGCTCCTCAGTGAGACTACCTTCATCCGCAAAGCGGGTTTCGCTAAGAGCGGCAACATCTATATTTAATCGGTGGAGTTTCTGTGAGACCAGTGCTGTTCTTCTCTCTGGTCGATTGGAGTTTGTCCTGTCCAGTAGAGTGCGGACGTTCCACGCCACAAACTTGAAATATTGACGAAGTTTAGTTCTCCGATGATACGCTCGAGTAGGCACCCCCTTCCGGACATCCGATCGAGGGGATATTTTACCTCCGGACGATGATTTTGTCCTACTCGAATGTTCCATCCTTGATGAGTGTAAGCTGCGTAAAAAGGTTAAACTGTGACGGTTACGCTGCCGCACAGTTTGGCTGCAACTTTAGCACGGGATGGCTATGGCACAGTGAGAACTGCGACGATAGTTCCCTTGTGCTACGCCCTCGGCCGGCCTTACCAAAGTCGACCTACCTCGGCTGCACTTACCAAAACATAGACACCCAAAATCTGATTCAAATCGGAATAACGGTTCCTAAAATATCTGAAAAAATGTGTTCAAATTTTTAAAGTTAGATGCCCTCTAGCGGATAAACGAAGCACTTTTGTATAGAAGGAAATTGTGTAAAATGAACTTATTTTGATTCCAAATATACGTGGTAGTTTTATGCCCAAGGAATGTTGGGACACCCTGTATTAAAATACCAAATTTTTATTAGGAAAATTCGAAAAAATTACAGAAGCGACATTTTAAAAACACCCGTTATATCAAGTGACTCTAACTTAAAAATATTCTTTTCGGTAACTTTTTCTTAATTTAATGTAAAAGTCTATGATTAAAGCGAAATACCAGACGAATGAATAAAAAAGTAAAAAAGTTTTCAATAAACCCGACTGACATTTGTCGTAGAAAAATTCTTCCATCTCTCATTACGAATTCATAAATTCGTCCTATAGAATTAATGCAATTTGTCTTCAGTTTTCATTTGACTAAGAATCTCATTTATTTTTCCTTAATGAAAAAGGGGACCGTTAAACGAGATTTCGCTCTTTTTTTTTTCATTTATTTTTGTCAAAAGTACGTGGATCTGATGGACGCTAGTAGCTACTTTTTTTCGTTATTTCTTGATTGTTTACAGGGTTTTTTAAAGGTTTCAATTAAATTACAAATTAAATTGTACAGAACTGGAAATGACCGTACGCTTTCAAGAATAAAAAGACAGGATTAAAGAGAAAAAATGTAATAATTTGCTTTTTTAGTGTTTTTCTGTTAGTAGTTGTTTTTTGTTTATCAGACAATCATGCATTTTTATATATAATATAATTTAGTAAATAATCTCAAAATAAATTACAGTTTTTAGTCTACGATGTGATGCATTATTTATATAACAGACCTATGAAGCATTATCTACAGGGTTATTCACCACATAGGACACGGAGTATTGTAGCTAAACTATTAGATTTTTACAAATTAGTTAAGGGTTTGTTGAATGACTATTAGAGCTACAATTTAAAAATATTTTTACAAGATACAGTGTCCCAATTAAATAAAAATATCAAAGTTTTATTCTTTTAAATGGAACAGCCTGCATATTATTATATTTTTAGTTTTTACTAATTAAAACGGAATATTTCTTTTCCGTTTTATATACAATAATACACAAAATAATACACAATAAAAAAATGTATTTTAAATTTCAATCTAAAGTGCTCTGTTAGAGGGCTAAGTTAAAAACACTAATTTTTAATCAAGGAGCCTTGGAAAATGTATTTCGTTAGTCCTGGCCGGTTAAAAGATGCGTAAATCGTATTTTTATCCATATCTCAATTCTTTCAAATGGAACAAGTGTAGCTCATTAGCGTATTTGCAAAAAGCATTTTTTACCAATAATTTGGTACCAATCGCATTGAACCGCATGTTACAATTTCAAGTAAGCCATATGCAAAAATGACAAAAGTTGAAATTTGATATGTCATTTTATTCAGAGTGGAATATTACACTCTGAATAAAGTAAAAAAATACCGAGGGTTTAATTTAAAAATCAAAAGTTGTAGTCATTTCCGGTGAAACTGGGAGTGACCAAAAACAATTGAATACGTCAATCAATCCTAATTTATGTCATATACTAACATACCAAATCTCGTTTTTTATCTGAAAATATAAAAAGTTATAGAGGTGAGCTACTTCTGGGAATCACCCGGTATACACGTTGTTCTAAATCAGACTGCACACTACAGAGATCTCTTACACCAGAAGATAAACAAAGATGATTAAATTAGAGAAAAATAGCGGTTTGTTGAATTCTACAACATTATGTTTTAAAATCTAAAAAAGTCCGATAACTTCTGAGTCACACAAAAAAGTGGTCTATGCTTTTTACCAGACCATCTTATGAATATACTAGCTACATGTGAATAAGTTTTTTTGTACTGTTTCTTTTCCCTCCTGTAAAATTAGGAATAATGGAAAAGCAGTTTAACACATTTCATTGACGTTATGCTATTTAGACTAAAAAATAACCACTTTCAAAAATATCAAATGTATTCGAAACATGAAACATGAAAACAAAAAAGAAAACATGCTCGTTTGTGATCATATATGCTCTTATAAGGGAACGTTCCCGTACAATGATCCTGAACGTCCGAAAATGTTCGCGAACTCTAGTTCTCTCATCACGAACTGGTATTTTCTCTCCGTTACACTACTACCTAAGTATAACAAAAATCTATTGTTTTTTTTAATTGCAGGCATATGTGGATCTTGTGAAAGCCTGGGGCTGGAAATCCTTTACGATCATTTACGAAAACAACGAAGGATTGGTGCGATTACAAGAACTGCTCAAGGCTCATGGACCATACGAATTTCCTATAACTGTGCGACAGTTAAGCGAAGGAACTGATTACAGGTAAAATCATTTGAAATAAAAATATAGAAAGTAGGGTAAAATTAATAAACGTTGAGAAAAAAGTGTAGTGCATGCAATTTTCTATTTACATTTGCATACAATTTGCAGTGTATTGCATATAATTTAGCTTACAATTTGCGGTTTTGCGACGGCATTGAAATTTGAATCAGATTTTGATCCCGATACTGCAAAGAATTTTATCACACTGACATTAACGTTGGTTGTTTATACAATAGTATAACTGTATCTTATCATCTCATCTCACTGCCATTACTCGCTGATGAGTATTTGACACGCATTAAAAGATGATTACGAAAGACGTTTTCTTTCATGAGCTTTTCTGTGACTGAAAAGCCCGATACGTGATGTTATCTCTCTTCCGCACTCCGGACATTCAAAAATCTCATTACTTTGTTGCCCTTTACTACAATCAGTAGTTACTATAATCAGTACAACAAGTAGTAACTTATCTTATTCAATTATCGTTAGGAATTAAATTGGATTATCTAATTAATTTATTAAATATCATTAACATTCAAAATTAAGCCATTAAGGTTTAAATTAAACAAAATGCAGCTTAGATATTAGGTACATAAAATATCTAAGAAAAATAGAAGACCAGTATATTGGTGGAACAGTGATATCTCTAACTCACGGAAACTCTGCGTTAAAGCCAGAAGAGCGCTCACTCGGATGCGTAAAAAGGTATGCCACAGTGATATCATCGAGGTCGAGAATGAGTACCGTACTGCAAGAAAAAAATTGAGAAGCAAGATACTAAAATCTAAAGAACAATCATGAAGAGAAATAGTGAATAATTTAGAAGACGACCTCTGGGGACAGGCTTATAAGATAGTCACAAAGAAATTAAAGACCAAATGCGATATAGACCCACTGACGCAGCGGCAGGAGGCGAACGGCTATTTTCAAGCGGAAAACATGAGAAATGGTCAAAGGTTGATTTCAACTACTCTGCATCAGTAACCGAGATCGATATCAAGAATTCAGCGCAGAAGCTTAAAAGAGGCAAAGTACCTGGACCTGACGGCATACCGGTAGAAGTGGTCCAACTGATAGCTGACCAGCATCCCTCCATTATTGTCAATCTTTTTAACGGTATTATAAGGAGAGCTGGCTTTCCCCAAAAATGGAAATGCGCTCAACTCGTACTCATAGAAAAACCAGTAAAAAAAGGTGAGAAACGCTCATATAGACCTATATGCATCTTAGATTCAATGGGGAAACTCTTAGAAATGACATTGAAAGAGAAACTGGAGTGCGAATCAATTTGGTTTTCGTAAAGGATTAATCACAATAGACCCCATTAACAGAGTAGTCAACACAGTGGAAAATTTAAAAAAAGTGAGTGTAACAAATAGGGATGCTTTACTGCTGATTACACTAGATGTAAGAAATGCATTCAATACGGCATCTTGGGAGGTCATAGTGCGCGAACTCACGTTCCACTGGAAAGTTAGTTAGTATCTCATTGAAAACGTCAAGAACTATTTCAGTGAGAGATCGATACTGGTGGGTGACGGTAAAATGAAGGTGACGAAAGGGGTGCCACAGGGGTCAATTCTGGGTCCACTTCTGCGGAATGTACTCTATGATGGGCTTCTCAGATTGCAGTTCCCTCTGGGTGTTGATATTTTAACATATGCTGATAATATTGCCTTGATTGTTAGAGCCAAAACCGTTAAGGAACTTGCATCCATAGCGGAGCATGCTGTCGACCAGGTATGCTCCTGGATGGAAGAAGTCGGATTAGAAATTGCCCCTTATAAATCTGAGTGTGTAATGCTGGCTGGTGCTCGTATTAAGGTCGATCTAGAATTTCCGCTACAGGGCAAGATCATCAAACCAAACAAGTCCTTAATACTTTAAGGACGACATACTAAAAGGTACTCCTTGGAGTCACGTTTGGATCTAATGGTAGCTTTGTCGAACATATTGGTACAATAACAACAAAGGCGAAAAGGCAGAGTAAGGCAGCCAAATTGGTCGATCCTAGGCCAAACAAAACGACGGATGCTAACCGCGGTGCAGACATCAACCATTCTCTATACCGCAGAATGTTGGGGGAAAACCATCAGCATAAGGAAATGTAGAGAAAAGTTAACGGCGGTTCAAAGACGATTGGCTCTAAGAGTGTGCCGTGGGTACCGCACGATATCTTCAGACGCTGCCCAGGTTATCAGCTCCATGACACCCATAGATTTACTTGTTGCAGAACGGATAGAGAGTAAAAAACACCCCAAAAGAAATAAGAATGAAAATAGAGCAATAACATTAGATCTATGGAGCGAAAGATGGAGGCAAAATACCAATAGAAACGCTTGCTGAACCAGGAAGCTCATACTGGATTTGGAGAGTTGGGTGAATAGAAGTCACGGAGAGGAGGGTTATGCCATGACCCAATGCTTTTCTGGCCATGGTTTATGCATTATTTATTTCGAACGCATATCATTCGTCAGAGAGGAAGGAACTTTCGAAGAAAATAAATCAAAAAAACATATCACTTACCAACCTAGTTCCAGCTATGTTGCAGTCGATCGAAATCTGGGAGGCTGTACAAAGCTTCTCATGGAGGTAGTCATATCTAAGGAAGCAAGATAGTTATGGATCTAACAAAATTATATTAATAACTTACCATGGGAGTTTAAAACGTTGAATTTTTTACTTCTGACTGATGCTACGGGCCTCTGAAGAACAGTCTAGGAGTGCCCTTTTTCAAATACATAAGATCGTCACAGTACAACATAACATCGTCACAGTACAACATAACATCGTCACAGTACAAACTTATCACGTACTGGAACCGCCTCCCCCGAAGTTATACCGAAAGGTGATCCCGGGCCGAGATATCTTAGGCGGAACGTGGATGTTTTTAGTCGGTAAGGCATACCATCAGCCACCCCGACAGTCCCGTCAGTGAGGTGGACTCTGGTTTGCAGATTTTCCCCCACGAAAAAAAAAGAAGATATTAGGTACATATTCTAATCAATTCTGTTTTACCAATTGATATAATCTATTACACTAAAGCTTCATTCAGAACCTCCCAATTAATGGAATAATTACACTTTATACTTTTTAGTTTACGATCATTCACAATGTTTAAAAAACAATTAAAATTAATAGAATATCCAAGCAACAGCTTGCGCTAGTCAGTTGTATCCATAGAGAAAGCCTAATATTTAGCTTATAACACATTCAACTTTTGATTTCTAACCAAAACGACGAAAGATAATCAAGGGCCAAAATGACATTTCTCGAAAATTTTGATATATAACTAGTGGAAAGCTTCATTCAGAACCTCGCAATTAGTGGAATAAATTAGTGGTTTCAATTACAATTGATACTTTTTAGTTTATGATCATTCACAATGTCTAAAAAACACAATTAAAATTAATATAATATCTTAGCAACAGCTTGCAGTAATCAATTGTATCCATAGAGAAAGCCTAATATTTAATTTATTAAACAGTAAACTTTTGGTTTCTAACAACATTTTCTCTTGACGGCTGATAATTAAAAGGCAAAACATTGCCTGGAAACTTATATGGTGAAATTTTGATAAAATAATTTAGTACTCACTAAAAACACGGTATGTCGCTAGTGGTAGGAAAAATAATTTTTAGAGGTTACTAGTTTATTTGGTTGCCTGTGATATGCATATACAGGGTGTTTCTTAATTAATCTAAAAAATAAAAAATCATTAGAAAACGGCTTAAGGCGGGCTCTTAATAAGTATATTCATTTTTTTCTCGGCAACCGTTTGATGAACAAGAAAAACTCAAAAGATCAATTTTGTTGAAAAAGGATGGCCAGTCAAGAAAAAAATATATTTTCTTTAAAAAAGCAGTAGTGTACCATTTATGTTAAGCAAAATATCGATTTTTTTTAATTTTTAACACCCTGTAGATCAGAAAGGAAGTACTTTAGACCTAATGGTTATATAAAAATTGTTTTAAGAACACATGAGGAATCACACCACATTTTTTTAGACTAATTAGAAGACACCCTGTATATTGTCAACTTGACAATGATTGTTGATAAATCAAAAAATACCTTTTCTGTGAAAAAAAGCCCGATTTTCGCAAGAAAAATTTTGGTTTTTATTGAATTTGGGCCTGCGTCTGCAAATACCGGTATGTTTTTTAATATTCTATCTATCTAAATTTTAAATATCATTGTCAGAAATAGTTTTATTATTTATTAACTGTAAAAATGGTTTACTTATAAGTTTTATCAAATATTGTGATTTACTTTCTACCTTGTAGTCAAAATTTATATTTAATAAACTGTAAAATATATATATTCTTATGTTTTAATCAAGTTACTCTGATATATTAATATATCAGTGTAACTTTAAAGCTAAATCCTTTGAAATCAAATATAAACATAACAAATATTTACAGCTGAAAAGGCGAAGGCGCTGGGTTAAACGTAGTCTCTACTAAGAACACGGAGGGGCGCTTTGACGCAAAATTTTACTATAAAGTTTCATATCTATCTTAATAGAAGATTATTTTCTTTTATCTATGGGCCAAAACGACATTCCTCGCAAATTTTGAAGTATAATTAGTGGAAAAGTCAAAAGTTTGTTAACTTTTTCCACTAATTGAAAATTCCTACCACTAATTTTAACGTTCTGAATGCTTACACTGATATTAAAAGAACAAACTTATACCGCAAATTGAAATCACTAATTTATTCCACTAATTGCAAGGTTCTTAATGAAGCTGAAAAGTTAAAAGTTTGATAATTTTTTCTACTAATTGAAAATGTCTACCACTAATTTTGACGTTCGGAATGCTTAAATTAAAATTACAGGAACAAACTTCTACGCTAAACAACTGAAACCACTAATTTATTCCACTAATTGCTAGGTTCTAAATGAAGATTAAAAGCCGAATGCAGTTTAAACACATTTGTTATCGCTAGTAGTATGAATAATATTACCAAATGTTTCGAAAATGGCAACAATTCATTTGATG